GCGCCCGCGTCCCGGCCAGGTGTAAACTTTCTGTATCGCAGCAGAACGGGCCGGGCCGTGGGGGCGGCCGGTGGCCGCCGGGTCGCAGATCCGCCCGGGGATATGCCCCCCCCCAAGACCAGGACGTGCGGGGGGCGGAGGACCACGCGTGGCCGGGGCGGCTGGTGCTGCAGAGGCTGGGGAGTGGGCCTGAGGGGCGCGCGGCTGGGAAGCCGGAGAAGCCGCGCGGGCGGCAGTTTGCGGGGTGAGAGGGGCTAGTCCTCTTTCGGGGGCTTCCGGAGCTCAGCGGGCCCACCTTCCCCTCCAGTCTGCAGTTTAGGGTTCCCCTGAACGCAGCGCCTTAGGAGGGGAGGGCGGGGGACCCTCAACTCTCCGGGTCGGTGGACCGCTCGTGCTGCTTCAGGTAGGAGTGCGCGGTACCCGTGCGGCCAGCGGGGAGGGACAGGAGGCAAATAGCGACAAAAGTCATCAAGTCAAAGCCAATATAAGAAAATGTTTGGTGGAAATTTCACATGATAAAGCAAGGATTAGAGTCTTCGTTCCTTGCCACGCAGTGAAATGACCGGTTTTGCTGATGCGTTCGTTCATCAGAGTACATATTCCACAATGGGATTCGGTAAAAACAGCAAAAACTGTAAAGAAAACACCAAACCTCTGTCCTGACGTTGATGGCTGAATACCTGTGTGCATGTGCGTGTAGAGAATCGTGGCAAGTTAAAATAAGGTTTTGTTCTATTTAAACACACAGAATGACAACAGCTAATGTTTTAATCTTAAAGCAGATGACCAGGCTAGAGAACAAAATAATACAATTAAAATGATTTCCCAGATACTAACATCAAGGCCCAGATACTTTTCTTGGGTTAATCTCTAAGGAAACGTTGGTGGGCTCCCGTGGTGAGCTTCAGTTCAGGGAACCACTGTGAATTACTGCCTCCCTTTCCCCCAATGCATTTTAAGTGGAAACGTGATTATGCGCCTAATGGAACTTAGAGCTTTTAGATAATCGGGCAACAAAATGAAAACAAAAACGAAGAAGAGGACAGACAAAAATCGTGAAGACTAGATTAATGAATTTAATGAATTTCTAGTTTTAGGTTTTGTAAATATGCTCAGTGAATCCACTTAGTAAAACAGAAGTCAAGGTTGCAATGGTCTTTGAAGATTCACTTTTTAGTTGCCGATCAGAGTCTCTTTTTGATACTGAAAAAATGGACTATATAAAGAGCTTATAAAATCACTTTCATCGAATTAATAATCTATATCTGGAAAATACTAAACATTAAACCAAAGTTAAGGGGAGAAGGTATTAACTGTGTAGCTTAGAAAGTGCTGAGGACGGGAGCCCTTCGTAGTCCAACACATGTTTATAAGACTCATTTTTCTAAATGCTGCCAGATGCCTCCGATCCACACTAATCTGTTTTCCTCTGTTCTCCTCCTCCAGCCATAGGAGTTGCCTAAGTGTTTACTTTCTAAAATATGACATGGGCACTGTGGTAGGTTCAGTCCTAGAGTCCTTTCGAATTGTAGGCTTCTCTTGTTCATCCTGTCACCAGCTGTCATGCTCTCTTCCTTTGGACATTTTAGCAAAGCCATTCACAAAGGGCAGCTTAGAAACAAACGGTGTGGGTCCTCAACTCCTACTGTAATGTGGCATTAGTAGGTGACTGTATGGCCTCTCAGTCTCTGACAGACGATGGCTTCGGGAGTTGGGGCTCATCCCTTCTGAACTGTCATTTCTTCCTGAAGGCGCCCCTGAGTTTTCCTGATTTGTACATTTTGAATCTGTTAGTACAAGTTCTGAGGCCAGTTGGAACAGTTAACAATAATAAAATTTAATAAAATTAACCTGATTCGATATTATTTTTGTCTTTTAATTATATTATGTTGTGATGGCGTTCGATCCTTTCAGTGTATATTAATCTTCTCTCTTTCTGATTTTTCTTTTCTGCTTCAGTTGTAGCAAGTTTAATCATCCTCCATTTGTCTGGGGCAACCAAGAAAGGAACAGGTGTGTTTCTTTGGAAAGCTGAGGGTGGGAGACTTCTAATTATTTGCATTTTTCTGTTTTTTCCATACTCTTAATATTTCAGAATATCGGAACATTTTATAGTGTGTAAAATTGATTGGTTTTGACTAAGACAGCATTTAGAGATTAATTTACTAATGGATATTATAAGAATGTCCTCTCTATTTTTAGTTTTATAGAAAATTGGATGATGGCTCTTTTTAACTTTTTTTTTTTTTCCAGAAAAGCAAACCACTTCAGGAACACAGAAGTCAGTGCAGTGTGGCACTTGGACTAAACATGCGGAGGGAGGTGTCTTTACCTCTCCCAACTACCCTAGCAAGTACCCCCCGGACCGAGAGTGCATCTACATCATAGAAGGTGAGGGGCTGGGGCCACACCTGGCCACCTCTGTGCTGGGTACGGACTGTACGCATGTAGACGCAACGAAAATTGGTTTTGCACATACGTATCTCTCAGGGAATCAAATAACCGTGCTATCTGGAATTAAGCCAATTATTGGAATCATTCGGGTTATGAATCGGTAAAGAATGGGAATTCAAAGCAAGTCAATAACTTAAGTTTATTTTGCAGTGGGTTTAATTGATTTGGAATTCTGAGTTAATGGGGCGGATGTATAGTCTGTGTCGCCCTCTCTATTCGGTAAGATTTAAAAATGTATCGCTAGCTAGATGAAATTTTCACCTGTGGTAGAAGATTTTAATATAATAGGTTTTAGCATCTAATCGCTCAGATTAGACAATAACTTGTCTCCGAATTCCGTCACACAGTCACAGAGCTACCTCGACAGAAAGTGATGGAGGCTGTTTTCACTTATACATAAGGGACACAATTCATTTGCTCGATCTTTCAGAGAAAAAGGCTTTATGTTTACCTGACTTGAAGAATTTCTATTTAGGATTCTTTTTCTTTTTGTACATCTTGGGCCAGAGGTCTTCCTGTTCCCCTCGCTGTGCTTGAGCTTGAACTTTTAACAAGCAGGGACAGGAACAAGCTCTGACAATAAACGGGTAAAGCTGAGAAAACAGCTCTGGTGAATTTTCTTCTTCTTATGACTGGTAGAAAAGGAAGTTGAAATATGGAAATTCTGGGTTAAAATCAGTCGTTCCTTTTAATAAGTTAATATTACATCTCTATTACATATATAACATCGGGAACTTTAAAAGAATATATATCGAAACGTTTAATCATAGGAAGTAGGCCTATTTTACAGAAAGAAACTGAGTCAGAGAAGCTTAACATCTTGCTTAAATTCACATAACTTGTTTCGAAGCAACAGTACTTTAAACTTCAAATTATTCAAAAGAACAAAATTAACTAGTTCTCTCATTTAAGGGTTAATTCGAAAGCAAATCTTTGCATGTTATCTGTGCTTTTCTGTTTATCATTTTTTTTTTAGAATTAAAAAGCACTGCTGACATTTGGTTTTAATATCACGCACATATGCGCCTTCATTCCTAGTTATATTATACCAAGGACGAACCTTAAAGTTGGACACTGGAACCTTTGGTTATAGTTAATCCTACTTCTGTAGCCTTTTTGAAATACCTCATACCGGTCATTTTTTTCACTCACACACTTATTTAACAAATACTTATTGAAACAACTACTAAGAAACAACTACTTTTTCAGGCATAGGTTAGAGAGTACTGAACAAAACAGACATGGTACTTGTGTCGTGGAACTTTCCGTCAGGTCTGGGGTCTGTGTATCTGACTTCTGCAGAGGACGAGGACAGGAACGAGCTAGGAGGCTGACGAGCTGGGCAGTCTCAGATGCAGGAGAACGTGCTAGTCCGTGGGTTCCCCCAGAAAGGTCCGAACTTTGTTATAGACAATGGGGTACTGTTGAAATACTGAGTAAGTAGAGGAAAAAAAAGTGAGAATCTGATGAAATAAGTAAAGGAAAAGAACGTTAAGTTGAAACTTACTGTGAAAGACGAAGTAAATCCTGTCAAAGCCAGAATACAGAAGTGACATCCGTGATGCTCAAAGGGAGAAATGCGAGATGCTCAGGCAGCTGAACCACGAGGGACGAGATGTGGGAATGAGAACCTAGGGCTTCCCAGGTCTATTCTTGAGTTTTTGGCTTGGCGACCTGCTGGAGGGAACTGCTGTGCCAGATAAGGGACATAGGTGGAGAAAGAGGGTTCGAAGGAAAAATAATGTATTCAATTTTGGTGTTTATGGAGATATCTCATAAAGAGACCGGATATATCGATCTTTAAGTCAGTGCAGTGTTCCAGGTTGAAAATATGTATTTATAGGTCATAAATGTAGCGATTGCTGTTGAGGATATTAGGGTCGATAAAATTAACCAGAGAGATTATTTGGAACACTGTTTTTCAGCTCTGAAAAACTATGATGCCTAGGTCTGCCCCCAGGAATGCTGATTGAGTTGGTCTTAGATAGAGCCACAGGTATCATTAAATGACGATATTATGTCACAATGTCCATCGGGATGCCATCGGCACCCAGAGCAAGATCTAGAAAGAGGTGAGAGATGACATAGCATAGATTTCTGGGAAACAACATGTAAGAGATGGGCAGAGTAAACAAGAAGAAGCCAGAGAGATGGACTGGAAAAGTGGGTAGAAGACGCCACACCAGCTAGCGTGGATGAAGTTTCCAGAATCAGGCATAGTCGAAGATCCAGCTGCTGCAGTACAGAAAAATCAGGTAAAAGCAGGTGGAGCTACTGCATGAGGCCATTAAGCTGTTAATAATTTCAGATGTGTGCTCTTGTTGACACAGTGGGGTGGGAGCCAGCTTGCAGTGGATGGGGGAGCACAGGGGGGCATTGATGGACACAGGCAAAAAGGTGGTTTCTTTTCTTTGTCTTCTCTTCTTTTAATGAGACTAATTGTCATATTTAATTCTGAGGAGTGCTGCCCATTCTGTAGAAAAGGTAAATTTAAAATACAAGATTCAGAGGGGTAAATAGTTGATCAAGTTTTTGAGATAAGAAGGTTGTGATAAATACAGGTAGAATCTCAGTCATGGAAGGGAGGGTCCCTTTTGTGGATAGATTTCAGATTGTCCTAAAACTACCTCCAAGAGATTGGTAATATTCTGTATAGATGTGCACTATTCAGGTGCAAGTGCCCACAGTTCTCAGCGTGTGCAAAGATTCTCCAAGAGGTTAAGACCTCTTGAAAAGGAACCTCAGTTTTTGATCAACGTTGGCTTAAAGAAAAAATTAAAGTGAAAGAAAGACCACTGTGATTTGAGAGATTTGAAAGGAAGAAAATGTTTAGGGAGTCGGACGAAGATAGATTCAAATGGTTTACATGTACCATAATCACTCACTTTTTTTTTTTTTTAACCTACAACGAAAACTGTGGTACATACTTATGTTTTAAGTTATTTCACTGCCTTTTAAAATTCATTTAGTGGAATTTCAGATTTGAGTACGTAGTTAACTTCAACATGTTGGACCAGAGGAAAATGAATTGTCATCGTATCATGTGGTCTGCCAAAAACCATAAGGAGAGTATGTTTCCTGAAGGAACACTGAATGGCCAGGTCATCCGTGTAGGACAAAACTTAAGCAACAACAAAAACGAAGGTGTGAATAAATGAAGTCATGTTAGAAGACCAGGTGTGTCCTAATAGGAAAGAATGGATAGATGTATGTTGCTTGATAAGAGTTTTAGGTAAATTAGCACAGGACTGTTCTCCTGGCTTTATCTCTAGCCATGTATTATTTACATCTAAAAGAAATATCCTTTAATCTGAAATAGTTTGTCTCCTCATAAAACTCATCACACCAGCTTATCAAAGAGGAGATAAATATGCAGACACATCCCATAGGATGATGATACCTAAAATGATACTTTAATGGTAACACGTAAACAGGTCCCTTTCATAAGCATTCGCTTTTTTGTTATTGGAGAGATAAGTGGTGGGGGTGGACATCAGGGCAGAGAAACACGGTTTTCCAGGTTATTTCCAAATATTTTCCAATTTTCAGAGTAAAAAATAATCATCGATACTCTCTCAGACCTGTCGTCATGGTGGATAGCGTATTTGCGATATATGTTAGTGGTAGATAAAACTATTCCTGATTTTTCTTGTAAGAGTAAAAGATGTCTCTTTTCAATGCCCAAAGAATCAGAAATGTGTTTAGAGATTAAAAATAATCCATAAAACAGTCTTTTAACATTCATTGACCTTTAAGCAATGATCTTCAATTTTTATTTTGGAAAGCTTCAAGATTATATTTTAAAGTCTCTAATTCCCAAGCCATCATGTATCTCCATCCTCTATAAATTTTTGACATCCATGCATTCAAAGCTTTAATTGTAGAGCCATCAGGGGTGACGTGTACTATATATTTAACAACTGGTGTGGCGTGGACAGTAGTCTCTCAGGATGATTGCTGACCTCGTGGGGAGCAGGCCCTACTGTGTCAGGTCTTAACTTTCAGATTTTTGTAGGGGGTTGGTCTCTGAAGAAGGACTCAAGGCAACAGTTGTTTATGAACTGGGAACAAAGTTTGGATGTTTCGATAATTGTTATGGCTGTCGTGGAGTGTCCTGGCTGAATATCAGTCTGGAAAGCCAGTATTTTGAACTGTTTTGGACATGACAAGGGAAAAATGGAAGGGCACTAGCAAGGTAAACACACCCAAACACACCCACGTGGAGGTTTAGAAAGCTGCCCTCTAAGGTGATGCTTTAGAGAGCGGTAAAAACATTTATGAAGAGAATACGCTCATTTACAATTCGAGCAACAAACTTTTTTTTTGAGAAATTCTCCATGCTGACTGCTGCCAAAGGAAGGCGGATAGATGTGGTTTCTGTCTTTAGCGAGTAGATTGTGAGAGGAGGTTTCTGTGAAGCAAGATTCGCCTTCATAAAGAGGAGTTAACAAATATGAGGTATTTAGATACTCAAGCGAGTAAGAAAATACATGAAAACCCGAAAAAGCATGATATCTCAGAAACACGATCTGTCCGAAGTGGCGGGAGCTCGGGCTGCGTGCGAGCTGAGGGGTCCCTGGAGCTGTGGGTTGTAGGAACTCTTAAGGGCCCTACATGTCACGTGCATCCACCATTTTCCTGTGACCATTAGGGGCCTGCCGAACAAGTTTGAACCAGAGAGCGACATGATAATATTCGTGCTCAGGGAAAAATCACTGTTAATTCCCTCGTTCGCGCACTTTGATCCAATCAGGGCCATCCGATTGGGACTATTGGAAGAGTTGCTTAGCTCTGTGCTAGATAATTCTCAAGTGGTCCCTGACCTTAAAACAGGTTAGTCCAGAAACCATGGGAAGTGACAGAGAGATGCCTCTCTATTTTGTAAACCTGAGTTAGCAGCCTTTCACGAAAATACGGTAATTTGTTAGTTCTGTGTTGGACATCGAAATGGTCATTTTATATCAGCAAAATATTTCATGCAATGTCTAATGTCTGTTAGACTTTCTTGCGGAAATATTACTCATTGGAGTGCTGATCTGTGTCTCCATGCATCTCCTGCTCAAAGTCCGACGGATGTGCTGATAAGACCTGAAGGAGAATCAGGAAATTCAAAGATTTAAGAAGGGTCTTCTAGACATAATTTTTCTTTTTTTCCAGCTGCCCCAAGACAGTGCATCGAACTTTACTTTGATGAAAAGTACTCTATTGAGCCGTCTTGGGAGTGCAAATTTGATCATATCGAAGTTCGAGATGGACCTTTTGGATTTTCTCCAATAATTGGACGTTTTTGTGGACAACAGAATCCACCGACAATAAAATCCAGTGGAAGATTTCTATGGATTAAATTTTTTGCTGATGGAGAGCTGGAGTCTATGGGATTTTCAGCTCGATACAATTTCACACCTGGTAAGTAGGCTTGTTTTTCTCCTTACATCTTTGTCTTCCTTAGCGTAAGAACTGTCGTCTTAGTATAAGAACTTCTGTAAGACAACTTTATAATTTTGAAAACATTTTCCAGTTCTATTTAAAACCGCACCTACAGTACTCTCCTCTTTCATTTCACAAATTCCGAAAGGAAAGTAAAATTTCCTTAAGCCTACACTAGAGATAAAATGCAGTGACACAGGGGTCTGGATGGTCATCGGCAACGGTTAATTAAATGGACTTCCATCATGCCGAAATGCGTAATTTCAAAGACGGTCTGCAATGAAGAAACTAATTATACATTAAATCCCAATAAATGTGAAAAGGCAATTGTAGTATGGTAAAATGTATCCATCAAAATGATCTTTGGAGAATTTGAATAAAAAATTCATTTGTTCTGAAAATGACAATTTTTAAAGCAAATGGATCGTTGTATAAAGCAGTCTAATCTCTTTATAGAAATGCAAATCTCTAAGAGTTGGGATAAAAGGAAAACTGAGACCGGTAGCAGCCAAATAATTCATTTGCAAGGCCTGGCAGTCATTATCTGTAATTATAAAATTGCTCATTCTGTGTCAATTTTCCTTTTAACCTGCTAATATTTAAAAGAGTCTGTGATGTTGACTGGCTCACTTTATGATGAGTTATCATTTATTACAATAAAAATTGGTTATCACATTTTTAAACTGCAAGGATGTCAGGCTGGAGCAATTTGAAATTTGATGAAGTGAAGTCATTTTTTTTTTTAATGGAATAATGACTCAGGTTACATAAAGCACATTGTTTACATATAATTGCACATTATTTTCAGTTTGTATATATTATTTTACTTAGGTTATGTAGGCAATGGATAAAATTAGAATATATGTAAAATTCGTTGACGTTTTTAATCTATATTAGAGAGGTGACATCGGAGCAGGGCTGTGGTGCTTGGTTCAAGCATTAAAAGTTTAAAATTAATGTAAAATTAATGATGATTTTCATTATGATAATATGCTCTATGTTAAATAAGTCAGATATTAACTGTCATGGATATTAATTTTAACATTGGGACAATTTTCATGACATTATTAGGAGATTGTGGTTTTAATTGTGTTTTGCTAATACTAGATAGTTCACAGACGTCGTGGAAATCTTACGTGTGGCGCTCAAACTCGTGTGATGGTTCCCCAAAAGGGGCAAACATCTGGATGCCTTTACTAGTCTAGGGTTGAAATATATATATTTTTTCTTAATTGCTTATTTTGAGTATAACCAGGTATAGGCTAAGCTTTTATAGGTTAGATGTCCATGGGAATCACGTCTAGGATTTAGGATTGTGGTTTCATACAGAAGGGGGGCGGGGTCAGCTCATACTCTGTCAACGTCAGCAACGCGAACCACCTGGCTAGTCCTGGGGACCGCGGGAAGGGGGATGCATGGTCTGCCACCCTGCCAGCCTCTTCGTTCCCGGCACATTGTTCTTCTCACTTCTTCAGAGCCAGCTTACTCCATCTAAAGAAGATTTTTATTATCAGGACCAACAGAATCGGGAGGGAACGGGAGGAGATAATTCCACGAAATTCGCAGTGCATTAGGAATAGACAGAGGCTTCTGTCTCCACGGCCATGTAGAGATGTGGACAGTGGACACATGAGGGAAAGACAGGACCGTAGAGAGGAGACACATGAAGCTTCTGTGGCATCGGAAGCTGAGGTCTGTGGCCCCAGGCCACTGTCCGATGGCGCGATCATCTAAAACTCATTCCCTAAGGAGGCAATACTGAGGAAGCCAGTTGAAGCTATTGAAGTAGGAAGGGGCGGGAGGAGTGATCCTTTAGGCAGCATTTAGAGAGTCAGGTGTCAGGCGGGCTTCGGTTTAACCTGGCTTAATTTTCACCTGGTAGTTTGCATCAGGTGGGGGTTTGCTTCATGATTTAAATTACGAGGCATTGCCGAAGTCGCCAGGGCGCCCGGTGAGCCGCATACTGGAGGGGAGGGCGCAACTACCTGGTCACCGGGAAAGCCAGATTCTGGCACGGCTGCCAGGGACCGATCTGGCTTTCGGTCCTGGATCCCTTGTTTCTTGCTTCTTTTGCACATAATCTTTAACATTCTGTGCCTCAATATTTTTATTTTTAAAATAGGATAATATTGGCCACCTCATAGGATCGTTTGAACATTGGTTGATTGTCAACTAATGCATGTTTATGAATTTTTTCCACTTCCTGTAAGATCTCAACGATGGGTAGCTATTATTTTCGTGAATATGGTCACGTGTTATTCGAAAGCAAAGGCGCTTGGTGTAGACGATTAGAACGAGTGCCCCAGGTTTTTTTAATTATAATGCCTCTTTCTCTGATATGCAAAACCGGTTGTTACGTGATGTCGCTTTTGCTTGTCAGATTGGTGTAAGTGGGCCTGGGCCTCCACGTGGGGTTCAAGTTATTTCCGATGGCCTTCGTAAAATATGTCAACGCAGAATCAGCAGCGGGAAGGCCAGG